GCGAAGAGCAGCTGGTCCCAGACCACATGGTGAGGACAGCAATAGGAAGACCAGGGAGGGTAAGGAGGCAATATTTAGGACGTGGGAGTGGGAAGAAGGAGGCAGCAGCTGTGAGGTTGGGCTATAAAAAGGCTGGGAGCTGCCGCAATGGGTCCTCTGTGGGGGTGGTCTCTGTCCTTCTTGTCGGTGCTGTTCTAAATATGTCTCAGAGCTGAGAACGCAGGCAGGTTGTCTCTGTCACCACCAGACTATAGCGCTTCTCTCTTTTGCTTTCTGTTTTCCAAGACAGACAGAAACCAGCCCCAAAATGTTTTGACTTGGGCTTGACCAAAAGCACATCATTTAGTGAACAAATGCTTCATGCTCTAAACGGCCCAAGTTCCTCATTTTCTCTTTTTTTCATTGAGGAACAGATGCCTCTTGGAAAGAAAAGATCTTGTCTGACCGGCAGGCTTGGTGCACACATTTGGGAGGCTCTTCGTTTAGGCCAGAAACGAATAGCTTCTCTCTACTCAGAGGCCAACTTTATTCCCAGCAGAGGTTTGGAGGCCATGATGCTGACAGGGGTGTTTGCATGATGCTCTATCTAAGAAAAGAACCCTGCCTGACCCAATTACGTCTGAATTCCCCCACTTCCAAAACAGGCATAGCCTTGTGCCCAACCTGATTGGCTTGAATTCCCTAAATCCGTGGCATAGCCCCAAGTGGGAACAGGGTAATGCTCCCATCTGCCCTCAGAGGCAGAGGTTGGGCTGAACATTCCAGTGGAGGAGAGCTCTTCCATAGATGCCTTCCTCCTCCAGGTCAGCTTATCTCTTTGCCCATCAAGGCTGCTGTCTTGTCCCTTGCCTTGGCAGAGCTGGGGTGAATACACTCCACGCTCCAGGCTCAGCTGAGCCCATATGCAGTACTGACAGTAAAAAGGCAAACAAAGCTTCTCTAAAGAAATTTACCCTATGGCTGGGGATGTTCTTACAAACAGGCTGGCGCATACAGGTCCTTGATGAGAGGGTTAATTTTGCCTCCTAAAAATACTTTGAGGTCAACTTAGAACAATCTTTCTAGAACTGTTCCTCAAGAACACTTGAGGACTTGCGCAGGTGAGTTTTGAATATATTCAAGGAGGAAAATTTCCCCTATCTTTAGGTTCCTGCTCCAATATCTGACCACCTTCATGGTGGGTTGAAAGGTCTTCCTGTCTCGATGATTAGCAAACTCCACACTTACGCTGTCCTCCTACATCCCGTACTCCAAATTCGACCAGCTTGGTGGTCTGTGCTGGACTTGCTCCAGCATACCAATGTCTATCTTGCACTGGGAAGCCCAGGCTGGACCCAGTAAGCAAGAGAGGGTCTCACGAACGCTGAATGGAAAAAACTCCCTGTCCTTGACTGCCTGGCTGCCCTCGCGCTGATGCAGTCTGTGACATGGTTATGACCCCAGAGCTGTCAACCTGTTGCAGCTGTGGCTGAACCAAAGAAGGTTTGGGAGCCTTTTAATGGGAGAATGAGAGGTAAATAAAGGAATTAGTAAACAAGTTACCACTAACTACTCTTGTCTACCTGCTGTTAGTAACCACACAGGCACTACTGAGACTTAAGGGCAGATCCAGAGTACTCTTAAAGATGCACCTACCCGTTTGCAGGACGGGGCCAAAACTTGGCAGGAGGGCAAAATGAACCCTTGATAGCCAGTGGGTAAGGCAAGTGGAGGGTCTGAGCCTACACCTGAGTGTCCCAGAGGTGCAAAAGTCAGCAGATTCCCATGAAAGTCATTGAGCATATGGAACAAAGACTGAAAATTGTGGGATTGTGTCTAAAAATAGACAAGGTACAGCACATCAGTGGCAGTTCCCTGAATAACAATAAGGGGAAGATTGTTTCTGTGGCATAAAGTGAATCAGATGAGGGCACTCAAACTTCCCCAGAGTTTCCTTCTTTTTAGCCAAATCCAGACTTTGGCATGTACTTCCCCCACCCCCCTGCCCCCTGCTCAGTTGAGGCTCTTAGAAAAACACATAAAGAAATCTCGCATTGCACGGTACCCAAGGCTGTTTAATCACAGAAATCACACCAGCTGGACACTAATAGCTTATTTTATCCCTTGCTATTTCTAGGGATGCAAAGGAAAAGGAGCTCTGTTCCTTTAAGCTAGCAGAAAGCTTCTTTATATTCAGGTGGAGTCAAGCCTTCCTGGGCTATAAAGTTGCAGGGAGAGGCAGGGGCAGCAGCTGTTTTGCTTAGATCTTAGCAAGCTTCCAGTCTCACCATGGTAAGAGCATGCCTTGTATTTGTATTAGTCTAAACTTAAAATGTAGCTTATATATTTTCCAAGTGTACTGAGCTAAGCGGCTTACTTGCCTTTTCTCTCCTTTCTCCTGGGGATGTTAATTCCAAACAGCTTTGTTTAATTGCTGATTACCTTATGGTTTATTGATTCCGTGTTTGCTCCTTATAAGGGAAAAGTGAGGGACTAGGAGAAGAGCTATTTAGGTGGCCTCTTGCTGCTTTTCACTCTGAGCGTCCAGCTCCTGAGGTGGGGTCTGTAGAGTTGCAAAGTTTCTGTCTCTTTAATGCAAGTTGGGTTTTACTTTTTTTTGGGAACCAGCATATCTTGATACACAACTATGTGATAGAATAAAGTTTAAATTTTGACACTGCTGGCCCTTTTCCCAAAGTTTAACGCTTCAGCTCTTGCACTGCCATAGGGAACTAGTGCAACTTGCAGAGACCTTTAGGGTTTTTTTTTTCTTTAGGAGTGAGCTGCCATGTTGCCTTTGTCTGCTACAAACCCTTGGGGTTAGGTATTAAACGAATAAAGTCCCCCTTCCTTCTAGCTTTTTAATGGAATCGTTAATGAGTTTGCAGCTGTGAAACTGAAGTGGATTGATCTGGTTACTAAAAAACCTGCAACCCTCAGCAGTGCTGGCTGATCTAGCTGAAACTCTTTGTAAGGACTAACACAACTGTCACCTTACTGTGAATGCGAAAGAGTAACCTGTTGGAAAATCTGATGGTGGCCCTTTGCATGTTGCAAATGGAAGAGAACTTCAAAGTAACTCCTAGTGAGCCAGCTTTTGAACTTTTCCTTTTATCTGCTGACTTCTAGAGTCTGTCTTGGCTATAAAACAGTTAAATATTTACATGGTATTTCCAATGGGAAAATCAGCTGGACAACAATAGGCTGCCTATAGCCAGAGTCTGTAAAATGCAGTTCATCTTGATGTGAATGTTGGAGACTTGGGATCTCAAAAACCCTTCCAGTTTATTTGACGGGGGGTGGCAGGAGAAAAGCTGCACTTTCTTCTCTTCATCAGGCCCCTCTTTTTTTCTTTCTCTCTTTTTTTTTTTTTTTGTTCCCATTCCCTCTGCTCTGGGCTGAAAATACCAGTGCTCCCTTGAAGCAGGTGCTGGGACCAGGGAGCTGGGAGAGGGTTGTGAGCGGAGCAGCTGTCCCAGCTCGCGCTGGCGAAGCGGCTGCGGTGCTGACCCTTGCAAACTCTGGCGAGGAGCTATTGCAACCATCTTGCTGAGAGGGATGGGCAAATGGCAGCCAGCATTTCCCACATAGTGCAAATATCAACTCGGAGAGGGAGGACTTAAACACAGCCTCCACACCCAGAAAAACTGGTGGCCTTGGCCCAGACCTGGATTAAGCGGTGTTTAGTCGGCTGAGGGTAAGGGGATTGGTGTCCCGCTGCGGTACTGGGAACGTTCATCCAGCTGGTGCCTGGCTTTGCGGTGGATGACCTGGCCATGCGGTGGCCGTTGGCACGTCCATGCTTGGAGGCGAAGAGGGGAGAAGTTGTATTGCATCCTCTCCCTGATGAGTCCCACTGCTGCCACAAGCGGTGGGTGTCCAGGACAGCCTAGCGTTAATTAGAGGGTAATGACTTCCAAGGGACAGAGTGCCTCTGGCAGGATAGTTATGCCTAAGGGTGTGTGCACACAGTGTCCTCTCAGCCCTGAGACAACCGCGCTGCCAGAGGCGTTTGTTATGCTCTGCCCAAGGTGGGCTACTTGGAGCAGGGAAGATGGGCTCATCTGTGGAGACCCCCAGCTCTGGGTAGGACTTTGGGAGGTGGTGTGAAACAAGGTGAGACCTGAACCAAACTGCGCATCAATGCTACAAATAATGGGATCAGCTGCACTGCTTGCCATCCCCAGGTAAGATCACCAGCTCCCTTTCATGGTGATCCCTTGGGAAGCAGCACTGCTCCCTGTCATGCACCATAGTAACTGGGAGTCTCTGCTTGGGAGCTGGGACATGAGCCTCTGTCATTGCTGCAGCAGAGCTTTGATGTCGGGGTGGTGGAAACAGCAGAGATGCCAATTACCCAGGGAAGCACGCAACCATCAAAAGTCCCCAGAGAGTCTCCAGAAGACGCCAGTACCTCCAATACTGCCCTGGAGGTAGTTTGAGGCTCCTGGAGGGTGACCTGGTTAAATCGGGACTCTGAGCCTCTCCCCAGGTGTCAGCCCGCCCTTGTTCTGGCCCTGGGCAACTGCTGGTTTCCTCCAGCCTCATTTCCTGCTGTGACTCCCAGCTTGACTGTGAGTTTCCCAAGCTTGGCTTCTCCCTGCTTGCTGCAGAGCTTTTTTAGCTCAGGGAGGCTGGAGCTGTTGTCCCTGATGCCTCATTGCTCTGGGACCCAGGGACTGACAGCAGCTCTGCTCCGTGGCCGGGCCAGCTGAGCACTGAGCGAGGCGCCAGCATTGCTCAGCTGCTTCCTGCCTCAGCACAAAGCCCATCACCTCCTTCCTTCCTCCTCCCCTGGACTGGGACAGTCCTTCCTAGGGACACTATGTGTGCGGCTCGGCTGTGTTCAGCTGCCCTGCAGATCATGGTTTGATCCTTGCTCTGACTCCTGGCAGGCGGGCAGAAGCTGCCACTTTCCCTAATCATCTGCAGTAGCAAATGGCTCAAACAAGAACCGTGGGGGCTAGTGCTAAGTCATGGGATGTCTAAAAATCACCTTAACAAACCATTTCCCCTTCCAGAGGGAGTGCATTTCCATCCACATCGGGCAGGCTGGTGTGCAGATGGGCAATGCCTGCTGGGAGCTCTACTGCCTCGAGCACGGGATCCAGGCGGACGGGACGATTCCGGGCCCCAAGCAGGTGAAACCTGTGGAGCCGAAGTCTGAACAAGTGGATTCTTCTTTTGAGACCTTCTTCTGTGAGACAGCGTCTGGGAAGCACGTGCCCCGGGCGGTGTTCATAGACTTGGAGCCCACTGTCATCGGTAATAGTGGGGCAGTTGGGTGTTGTGGCATCTTGAACTGTGACTCCTGAACCTTCTTACTTGGGGCTCATGTTGCTGCCCATATCGCCTAGCAGGTCCCACTCCTCTGCTCTAGTAAAATGTCTCCAGCCATCAGAAGGAGACAGAGTTTGCATTTCCAAACGGACCTGGGAGTGACCAACCCATTACCCTTACTACACTGACTTGTCTTTAGTTGATCCCTCCTTTTGAGACATGCTGTCTTGAGCAGGATCCTCAGCAGGTGTAAAGTGGCATGGATTTATTAACCTCAGTGGCTCTGAACTGAGTTACAGCATCCTATGACCTGATGTGGCACATCTGGTTTTAATGTTACCTGTGAAGCTTCTTGGGGCAGATGGATGCTACACATTTCATGGTTTTGTGGAAACTGGATGTCTTGCTACTGCAAGCTTTCTACTTCCACTTCCAGTCCCAGCTCCTTTAGTGATCTCTGGGTGTTTGACTCAGTCGTGGCACTTTGATTTAGAGTACCTTCCTAGAAAACAAATTATTTTTTTGCTCAAGGAAATGGGTGGAAATGACTCCCAACCCTCTGCATTCATCTACCTGCTTCTGCCCTCTAGGCTTCTTCTGAGTGTTTGCTCCTATCGTACCATCTAGGATGTGTGACTCATTATTTCATCTAATGGAAGGAATGTAGACTTTTGTTTTGGTTCCACTTAATTTTTAGGCATTTATTAAGGCATTAAATTTGGAATCTAGTGAGTAAGCCAGTAGAATATGAAATCAATCCAATATTGAGACTGAGTGGGTTTAAATAACCGCTGGAGGTGTCTCCAACCTCATCGACTGCATGGAGCCTAGAGAAACTGCTCCTAATGCTTTGTCTTCATAAGGTGCCTGAAGCTGGGTTGGATATATCTAGCAGAAATGTCAACACTGGAGGCATTCTGTCTTCTCTTCAGTGCGGTGTAGAGCAGAGGATGGAGGTAGCATTTCTAGTCACCTCAAGATGCTTTGCAGCAAGCAGAAACACAAGCTGCATGTGGTAATTATAATTCTACAATAATGCTGGAAATGTAGGCAATGTCCTAACACTTTAAGCCATATTACATTAGGATCTCAAGGTGGCTGCTGGGTGAAGATGGAGGAGGTATAGTAAGACCATGGCAAATTAGCCTGGACAGGGTTATTCTTACCCCTTCCATTAGTCCCACATTGAACTAACCATGCCATGACTGTCATCTCACATGGGCTCCTGGTAGATTTGCTATGTGTTTTACTGCGTCACACTAATGTCCAGAACCTGTAACTGTGTGCTGTTCTCCATGATTGCTCCTCCTTGTGTAGATGAGATCAGGACTGGGACCTACCATGCGCTGTTCCACCCAGAGCAGCTCATCAGTGGCAAGGAAGATGCTGCCAACAACTATGCCCGTGGCCACTACACCATTGGAAAGGAGATTATAGACACTGTCCTCAGCAGAATTCGTAAAATGGTAAGAGAAAAGGCAGTCGTCTTCCTTAAAATAACACACCATGGACAACACAAACTTTGGGTTTGGGGTAAAGTCTTAGAAGAAAAACCCCTTTATGTCAGCTGAAGGGCTGCTGCTGCTGTGATTAGGTTTGGGGCTCAGTAAAGCAAGGGATCATGTGAACCTGTATATCTGCCCTAAAAGCAACTGTCATTGCATATCATACATGTATGAAGTGACACAACACTAGAGACAGAAGAGAAAGACTTTTGACCACAGGGAAGCCACACCCTGGTTGTGCAATTGTGGGTATTAATTTTCAATCGACAATTGGTAGCCAGGCTGGCAAGACCAAAGTCCACGTTTGATAGGATTGAAGCAGGATTGTAACAATGTACTTGGAAGCCTGTCAGTGAAATTTTTTTGAGATGTCTCCTAAGGGTCTAGGACCCACATGATACCTCCCATCCCCTCTCAGGTGCTGAGGTATGCATTGAGCTGATAATGGAGCAATTTGCCAAGAGTTTCCATCTGACTGCAGAGCTACCTGTGGTATCTCCATGGAAATGCTGCAATTAAGACATGTATACTTAAGATGCTCAGTAGGGTGACATACTGAGTGAATCCACTCTAGGGATTGGGTGCACTCTGGCCAGTAAGTGCTCTAAGCAGAATTTATTGTTGTATTATTTGGGGTAGTTATTCCAGTCCTTAACAGAGAGAGGTAAATATACATTATTCTGCTGCAGGCTGACCAGTGCAGTGGATTGCAAGGGTTCCTGGTGTTCCACAGCTTTGGGG